GACGCTCTTCCGATCTACCCCAAAACCCTAAAACCCTAAACCCTAAACCCTAAGCCCTAAACCCTAAACCCCAAAACCCTAAAACCCTAAACCCTAAACCTATAATCTTGTTTGAACTATGGATGTCGCTGCATGCAGGAAGCTTTAGCCGCTGTGGCAGTCGAGCATGGCATCGTGTCCAAGAACATTTCGAAAGGGCAGCTGAAGGAGTGGGGCTTTATAGGATACCATTATTTCAACAATGGTTCTTGCATCACAAACTCAAAGCCCCTATTCCTAAACCCGATGCCTTCTCTAGGATCCCTTCTGGAACCCTTTGCCCTAAACCCCAGGAACCCTGATGATTATATAATGAAACCCTACCCTAGCTAAACTAACCCTAGTCGGAGCCCTATAAATAAACATTATATATCTCATAGCAGGACTGGGCAGCGACCGAAACCGGACTCCACAGGGCCCTCGCAGCTTATGTTCACAGGAGGCTCGGAGCCAACTCTGGTGCGAGGCCAGGCTCTAGTTTGCATACATAATTAACATATTGACAACCTGTAACCCGTGTTTTCTGCCAGGGCTGGCCACGAGCGGATGGCGATGCTGAAGCGAATCGTGAAGATGGTCCGAGGAATGGATCCTGAGGCCGCAACTTGACTAAATTATTTTATGCATTCGCACGTTTACAATCTATTCCACTATCTTCTTTTGTTGTGATCCTCAGGCTGAGCCAAAGAAACTGGCCTATGGAATGGACAATGACGAAACTCAAGTGCTGGAAGGAGTGTACGTTTCATATGTCATCCATGCTATTGTACATATCTATCGTGCTTTCTGTGATTTCTGCAGGAATGGACTATAACGACGACGACGACGAGGTCATCATTGTCGAGCCCCACAAGAGCACCCTCACCTGCAGCCCAAGTGACATGGAGGATCAATCTCATAATGGGAAATGTATAGATCCATGCTTCTTTGTGGTTTTGGCTGCCGATTCGTGCTGCAGGATTCACAATGTGAAGACGAGTCTCAAGTTGAGCCGCCGGAACCAGTCGTGCCCACAGCCTGAGCCACACGCATGTGATGTTATGACTGGGCTTCTCAGGCCACGGATTCGGCTCCTGGGCTTCGCAAGGTGTCTTTTCTACGATTCTATGGACATGTGCTATCATGCATGTGCAATGTTCAATGCAAGTCATGATACTCTGTGGTAGGCTGCTCCGATTCGCAGCTCTCAGTTTTCGAGCTCTGAGTTTCTGGAAGAAGCAGATGTTCCTAGGCTTATTATTTTTCTTGTGTTCTACACATATCTGGTTCGTCCAAATCTATATTATATTGTTTGTTATTCAGGTTCCACGGCCATCGAGATCCCCAACACCATCACCGCCAAGATCTTCCAAAAAGAAGAGAAGCAGGAAAGAGCGCATGCTCTTGTCTTCTTCGAAGGCAAGCTCTGTTATTAGATAATTCGAATAATACTTCATAATAATTTCTAAACCCCACACCCTAAACCACACCCTTAACACTACACCCTAAACCCTACACCCTAATAAGAATATTGAAATTATTTAGATTAGACCTTGCCTGCGACCGACTGCATAGGCCCCTGCTGCTTCGAGTTCAGCGGCCAGCTTGAATACAGACGAGGTACATTCCAGCATCTATGTTATAATTATTGTTTTTTAATTTGCTCCTTTCGCAGGTGACTGCCGCAGCCAACGTGTTCGAGAACTCGATCTTTGGTGTGGAGGAGGCTATGCTAGTTTTACAAGGGACAGCAGACTTATTTAGATGTGTTCCATATATATATATATATAGAGATATATTATATATATATATACCCCTACTTGCAACGGCCTTTGCTCAGGTCCAGTGGCAGGAGGGGAATACACCAGACAGGTGTCCCAAGCTCGAGGCTGCTTGCATGTATTCATCATAGCAACCCTAAACCCTAAACCCTAAACCCTAAACCCTAAACCCCAAACCCTAAACCCTAAACCCTAAACCCTAAACCCTAAACCCTAAACCCTAAACCCTAATACTTACGGTTACCCATGTACTGGCAGGAGCTATGTGCTTCCCCGGCAGCAGCAAAGACGGCCTCCACAAAGAAGAAGAAGAAACAAAAGATTGAGGAAACACAGGAGTCCCCGGTAGCAGCAAAGACGGCCTCAACTTCGAAGAAGAAGCAAAAGACTGAGGAAACAGAGGAGTCCCCGGTAGCAGCAAAAACGGCCTCAACAACGAAGAAGAAGAAGCAAAAGACTGAGGAAACAGAGGAGGCCAGAAGCATCTCTACTGGAGCCTTTAATTCTAATAAGTCTGTTTACTTTACATGCCTGCAGGTGCCACCGAAGCCGCTGGAATTCCCAGATAGCCAGCCGATTTTCGAGCCGTGGCCAATCGATGTATCGGATGAGAGTCCTCTCGATACCAAAGCCAAGGTGCCTATTTAGGTACATGTGCTTATATGTATAGTCCTGCAGAAACTGAGAGGATGTTGCCACTAGCACCCCGACGAAAGCAGAAGATGCCGAGCTCGCAGACGAGGATGCTTTTGATGAGCTTCTGTGTGTGTGTGTGTGAGAGCGAGAGAGAGAGAGAGAGAGAGAGAGAGAGAGAGAGAGGAGAGAGAGAGAGAGAGACACAAAGGTGTGTATGTTATTCCATAATTGTAATAATGAACCTGCATGTAAACGATCCTTGTCAGGACGATGGGAGGCTGCCGCTGCCGTGTGTACCCTGGCCTCTATGGCTGCCCTCGGACCAAAGGCAGGCTGAAGCCGACAAACTAATTGAGGAGCTCGAGAAGAAGACAGGCCCCTTGAGTGACAAAGTCCTGAAGGCGGGACTGCTAAAGGATTCCATTGTATATAATTATTTGATTTCTAAAATATACATATTATGGAGTATTATAACCAGCTACTCTTAGAATTATATACTCAGGAGCAAAGAAGTCTTCGCAAAACGATACGTGAAGGGCCAGCAGAAGAAGCTGCTGAGGAAGGGGGCCCAGAATCCCAAGCCGAGCCAAAGGCCAAAGCACAAGCAAAGGCCAAAGGAAAAGCAAAGGCCAAAGGAAAAAGCAAAGCAAAAGCGAAAGCAAAAGCCAAAGGGACACCAGAGACCAAAGCTGTGTTGCAACATGACAGGGAAAAAGAAGAGGTCTTGAGTGAGGCTTTGGAGCTAGAGCAGGAAGACGAGGCCATAAAGAATGAAGTTCGCTTCGAAGCGGATGAAGATGAAAAGTGTTCCAAGGCTAAGAAAAGCAAAGGAAAGAAAAAAAAAGCTAAGAAAAGCAAAGCAGAAGCCGAAGGAAAGGAGGATGCAGCAGGGTTTCAGGAAGAAGCCGGAGGAAAGGAGGATGCAGCAGGGTTTGAGGAAAAAGCCGGAGGAAAGGATGATGCAGCAGGGTTTGATGAAGAAGCCCTAGGAAAGCCGAAGAAAGGTGTCAAGCGACGCCTCGACTTCGAGGACGAAGCCAGTGATGAAGTGGAGGCCCTTTAATTTGGAATCAAATGTCATGATGGGTCTGGCTATGTACGATATATGCACATATATACATCTTCCTATACATATATACGCACATATATTTATATATATGTATAATATGTGAGTATATTCTAGACTACATTTCATATATACATACAAGTACATGCCACACATCAATATATTAGACATATATATATATATATATACAGGTACATGTTTGTTCTACATGCGGTATTGATATTTTACACAGCCTAGACGTGTGCTTTGCACCCTAAAGCATAATAATAATAAACCCTATAAGCCCCAAACCCCTTAGCCCTAATAACCCTGAAGCCTATAAAGCTATAATAAACTCTTATAAACCCCTTAGCCTCTAAAGCTTCAACCCCCTAAACCCTAAAGTTGTAGCCCCGAAGGCCTCAATTCCAGTTCCCGCCAGGATGTGCCGGCTGCCACGTGGGATGCCATGGATGCAGATGCCGAGGCACCTGGTGGCATAGTCGTCGTGAAGAAGAAGAAGAAAAGAAAGATGAAAAAGAAGGGTGGCAGGAAGCTTAAGAGGGTTCTGGAAGGAACCCCAGCGAAAAAGAATGAGGCAGATGAGGCCGGGGACGAGGAGCCCGAGGACTCGAGCCCCAAAACCCGTTATCACAGATATTGATTATAAGTCTATTTCAAATTTGATCATATAGCTACCCAACAAGGACAGCTCAAGCCATTGTTCTACAGGAGCCGATGCCGGCTGGATCACCTATGGGGCTGGTGCCTTACAAGTCCAGTGGATGGACCCCTCGGATCGCAAAGGCTAAGAAGAAGTCCAAGCCAAAGTATGATGCCGACCACCCCATGCCCAAGTCAAGACAGCAAATTGAGGCCAGAACCTCATCCCTGTTTAATTATGTACATAGATACGAGAACCTTTCTGACCTGCAGGCCAAGAAAGATGTGATTATCAAAGATCTCCGACAATTGCGGTTGTTGGACAATAGTATGCTGCTGCCGACAAGCTTTGGCGACATTCTGTGGCTTGCCTCATCTTTTTGCTGGGCTTCTGCTAGGTGTACTTTAATTCGATTGGTTTGCATCCCAGGTCCTTCACTCTGAATCCCTCCCCGAAGGTTCTGGAGGAGAATATTGATGGTGGTGCCCGCTCCATCGGGGTGCTGTTGTTGGGATGCAAATCTCATGAGTGCAGAAGAAGTTTTTAAGAATGCATTGAAACTTCAGCTAAGGCTCCAAGGTGGTTTCTATGTGGGCAATGTTCCACCTGAACGTCTGCTCGCCATCAACCAGCAAACCACGAATGCCAACCTGAAGGCTTGCCTCCGGGACCATGGTTTTTGTTGGGGCCTCCACACACATAAGATATTTCATGTATACATACTTTTTAAGGGGATTGTAGCGAAGACTCAACCCTAAACCCTAAACCCTAAGCCCTCATTCTTTTTCCCTCCCCGCAGCTGCAAAAACAGTTGTACCTGAGATGCCCACACAAAGGCCATGGCCCCGAGTGCAAGTCGCTAGCTTTTGACATCGTCCCACTGTCAGCAGCACATTATATGTTCTCGGGATATGGAGCTCGTTGTTGTCGATTGCGAGCTGGAACATGCAGAGGGACCATCATGAGCATGCAAATACAGCTGCAGATCTGCATCATTTTTCGGCCAACGAAGTCGCAGGCTTTATAGCATGCCCGAATGCAAGGGGGCGGTGCTGCCGTTTCCAATTCAGTAACACGCCTCTCTAGGTCCAGGACATGTCGGGTGATGATTGATGTCGTAGTTGTACTGCTGAAGCTATCCATCTCCAAATCATCACTGGATCTCGAGCTTCCACGAGCAAGTGCAGCTTCCATGGATTCGTACTGCATGGCTCCGAGAACTCTTGTAGTATTTAGGGTTTATGGTTGAGGGAACCCTAGACCCTAAACCCTAAACCCTAAACCCTTAAGCCTAAGAAGTACTCTAGCTAGTTTTATTTTGATGTTATTTATGTATATGTACATGCATATACTATAGCCGGTACATATCGGTATTTTCTATAGCTCAGAAGTGGAGCTGTCTGCTCGAGGCCAACAAAAACGGCGGTGTCAACTTCTCATGGAAGAAGGGTGATCTTGGAGATCTGCAGAGGGTGTGCCCCAGCTGCAGTTCAATCATGCCCTGTCTTGGATCCCATGCAATCCCACGACTCAATTAAGGTACAGACTTGCAAAGAAAGCAGCGGGCTGGCTGAAGCCATACTGGCCTCTTCCGCAGCCCAGGAACTAGGCCAGAGGATCATGCATCTTCATCTACCTTGGAAACAGCCGGTGTACAGTAGGGATGTGCAGGATGCTTATAAGGGGGTATCTATGTCTGAGTATTGCTTGGTCTGGCTAGGTCCGTGCCGGGCTTTAAACATCCTCAGTTTCAAATGACATTGCCGGCTGTACACCCAATTCAGACTGGGACCTACTTGTTGACTTTTCAACGAGAATGGCAAATACGCAGATGTCGTCTCGTCTTTGCATCATGATGCACCCAGGTATACCGTGCATGCTGCCATGCGAATCAGACATGCATGTCTTCTCTTTTTACATGGGCCAAGGACTGAGTTTCAAATGATACATAGGATGTAAACCCAAATTAAATCTAAACCCTAAAAAAACTAGACCCTTAGAAACCCTAAACCCTGAACCCTTTGAAATCAATTTTGTTATTCTAGATTATATTAAACCCTACTTCGAAACCCTAATATGGTGCCTTTAAGTTAATGTCTAGCTTTAATTGGCCCTAAAC